AGCCTTGACCCCCCCTTCTTTTTTCCCTCCCCCCCCCCCTACGTAAATAATGACCGGTCCCTAAATGTCTCCGTCAGCTCATTTAGAAGAGCGCTACTGTCTGCCAGGGGGGAGATCTCGGGTTGGAACCAAGCAGCAGCACCAAACCGGGACTTTTAAAATTTGATTAAGTTCTTCCTACCTTTGATTCAAGATCTTTTCTCTGTCCAGTTGCGTTATCGAGCAATAAAGTTCAGTTTTGGGCCTTGACTCCTTCATACTTCCTCATTAATTCGGAGGGGACGTAAACCCCCCCATAATGTACGAAACGATAAGGGGACACAGACCTCCGGGGTATGACGGGGGTGTGGGCTTTGTTTCATTGCGGAAGGCAGGAGCTAGCATTACAAGCTTTATCAAAACCATTGGCATAGGTAATAAATGAATAAAAAATAGATACTAGATACAATTATTCCTAACCCTTCACATTCCTTAAGTGAAAGAGGCTTTTTCAGTATATTTTTGCTTCCTAAGTAAAGTCATCTTAAAGTTGGACAAGAGTTTATATCTTAGATTTGTTTTCGTACTCATTAATCCTTTTTGGCCATAAGGGAAGTACTTTCCAAATTCGCGTGCCGGCGTTACACTTGACCGACCCGAAAAAGAAAAGCTGCCTGTGGTCTAATAGAAGATCCGTTTCTCTCAGACTAATCGCTGGGAAAATACACGGAAACAAAAGTGGCGGTTGTAGAAAATTGGCGGCCGTTGCTACCTCCAGCTAGTGGGGAGCATCAAAGCAATAGCGTATAGTAACAGAAACAGGGGCGGATCTAGGGGGAGGGTGCAGGGGGTGCGCATCCCCCCCCCCTGAAATGACCTGCGGTTTTCTAATACAACTGGTATGCTGCCAAAAAAAAAAAAACTATGTGGTTTTATGGTGTTGAAGTAGAGCAAGAGACGAGTGCACCCCATCCTAAAATCCGCCCCTGAGAAATGTCATTAAGTGTAGCTCTTTCGGTCTCTGCACTTTCAAACTACTTTCGAAAGTCAAAAACTATTTGCGGATGTCATTTTATTGAAGGCTTAACTATCTACAACTGTTTATGACATGCCACAGTGATTCATATCTGGTTACTACTTTCGTACATTGCATCATCTGGACGTTCAAACTACTTTCGAAAATCCAAAACTATTTGTGGATGCCATTTTATTGAAGGCTTAACTATCTAGAACTTTTTATGACATGCTACAGTGATTCATATCTTGTTGCTACCACCATCCGAACGTTCAAACTACTTTCGACAACAGCAGAAGCTAAAATAAACAATGGAGCTCATGATGGTTTCATTGTCAACAGTTGCCTCACTTCCTCCTTTTAAACCATAGTCGCAGCCGTAGTTGAAAAAGGAGCCCACAATTTCTCCATTTTGGGTAGCTTTGCGTTCCCTTCCATAGACAGAAACTTCTCCATCGCAGTTGGGATAAGAGCTCTGGGAACAAATCTGGCTACAGGTTTTCTTGTCAGCGGTGTTCCTAACCATAACCCTGTTGTCATAGGAACCACTTCCTCCTGTAGGGGTGCTTCCTCTGCAGGCCGCTGCTGCCGCCATGTGAACTGACTGCCACGCCAAATCAAATGCCGAGTACTGATTAAAGCCTGCCGTGAGGACGTTCTGAGGAAGGCGTCCATTTTCGTCGAGCTTGGCGAAACCACCAGGCTGGCCTGCCTTAGACAGCTGAGCTTTTACATTGGCAATCTGTGAATGATAAGCAAAACATGGAATGCCGACAAATGTGAGGTAGGGCTCTAGTCACTTTATATCTTTAGTCGATAGTTACATTAGTAAATTGGCTCTTAGCTGCTCTTATGTCTCATCATGTAAAGGAATCTGAAGATTAACAGGGAACAAGGAACACGACTGACTATTATGGAAAAAGTCAGTTCCTTTTTAATTTGTGTCAACGTTAATTTAGCTACTTTCTCCTTTGCTATTGGAAAAGTTTCCGTTTCTCAACGCTGCTTTCTTCATTCAACTTATCTTAGTTGGCCTTTCATGGCTTCTGTAGTGTCTAAAGGAAAGATTTCATAATCAGAAGGGCAATGATTATTTTCGTCTCTTCTACCTTTGATATTGATTAACACGATCTATCTGAAACTTTATATATTCACATTATTGGATACATCATAGATTTAAAAGTATACACGCAGGAGACAACAGTTCCTCCATGCATGACCATCAATTTTAACATAACTTCAGTAAAATCAACACCACTCACCTCCTTTTCCAGCTGTCGTAATCGTTTTTCATAGGCCACTAAAAAGATAAAATAATGATCAAAATCCAGGCTCTTATTCTGGGGTGGATTAATGATGAACGACTGCCGAAGGCCTATTTAGGGGAATCCCGGGGGGAACAATCAAGAGAAGTTTGAGTGGAAGTGTGCCATCGAGAGTCTTTTAGTCTTCTGTTCAAAACGCCGAATAATGAAATCATGTACCCTGTTAAAGACGCAAGGCCCAGTATTTTGAAAATGACCTCCAAGACGACTGGCCAAACCCTTGCCCCTCACATGCAGTTAGTAAGCGATCAGCCCTCGAAATAATAAAATAATTTTATTACTTAGTACCTTGACTTTGGTTATAAACATCTTTTCCAGTCAGACATTTAATAGCATTATTCTGTGTAGGCAATCCAACATATATCATCAATATTTAAACCACTTTATTATTACTATTATTATAAAATGCCTGTATAGTCTGCTCTGTTTTTCACATAAACCCGACTTGAAAACAGCGATGTGTTGGACATTTCTTAGGCTAAGGCGATTATTTTCTCTGACCAATCTTTTATTGAAACTTTCGTTTCTCGAAAGGCCGATAACTTTTTGGGTCCGAAAGCAAATTTCGAAATCAAAATCAGTTGAATAGTAGCAAAGTTCCTAGCTCACAAACCAGTAAATTTGCTTCGTTGACTGATAAATTCATTGTATCATTTTCAAAATTATTGAAACTTTGTCACTGAATGCAATCACGGAAAACATAAAACACCTTTTCGGGCCCGAAAAGTTATCGGGACTTTCGAGAAACGTGACCAAGGAGTCATTTCATAATTAAGTAGGTTGAGTATTATCGTCCGGGTGAACGTAGTCCTGAATGGGACTGTTGTTAACAGTGACTAATATTGGCGGACTCAGGCAAAACTAACTACAAGAGAATGACTGAACAACCGACAATTTGACTAACAATAAACGATTGTTTAACTGTGACAATAGACGGATCGAAACGCACCAATGACGTTACGAGTCTTCGTAGCCAAATAGCATCAAGGCTTAATTGACAGACGACCAATAACATCATGACTTCTATGACCAATCAGGTCAATACCAGAGTTTAATATTATCAACTGACGTAATACAACTCACTTTGGCTCTGAAGATAACTACCGCACAGGTTTTCGAAACGTCAGTCACTGTCAAGAACACTCCTTTTCAGTACATACTCAACCTACCTATCAATCTTATATATCAAGAATCCATTACCGAAAATAACGGGGAATCATAATACCTTCCAGGGTTGGAGAAATTTCTGGATTGGCACCACTTGGTGCGCTCAAGTTTATTCAGACCCGAATGTCATTGTTAGTTCCCAAAACAGTTCCCATCTCATGAACAATCCCAAACATATTTTATATGTCAGATTACGGGGGATTAATATTTTTGCTTTTAGCCCAACGATTACTTCAACCTCCAAAGCTGCAACTAGAAACTGTCTTATTTTTGTTAATTATTCTATGAACATATACCAAACAACGAGTCCTCAATTCGCAACCACCATTTGAACTTTCATGTGCGCGTGCGTAAAGTGTAACGGCAAAACTGCCAAACAAGGTCACAAAGACAAACTCCTTCAAAAGTTTCATTTTCACTTTTTCTTGCATTAATCTGTTGAGAAAAAAAGATGGTTGGGAATTAATATTGAAAACTTGGTGACAGCGCTCAGCTCTATAAGGCTAAGTAGGAAGACGTTTATATAATATATTAACCAATAAAATTACCTCGGTAAAATAGTAAAAACAGTGCTGATAGAGTTGTCATACCCTTCACGCCTTTTTTTTTTTTAACAATTATAACATTGTTTGCTTTTATTGTTGTTAATTTTCTACTTTAGGTCAGGTTTCTTGCTCAAGAAGTCTCGGTAAACTAACTAAATTAATAACGTTTTTAAACAGCTTGACCCTTTTCAATGGTTTTTCTCATATCTTAAACTAAATATTAGCTTAAGCACAATAAATTTTGCACATCAATGATTAAAAGAGCCAAAAAAAATGGTAGCAACGGGTTATTGAACGAGTAACAATTTTAACAGGGAAACCCCAAAAAAATATGCCAAAGAAAATTTGTTTCTTTTTGGCCATATAGTAACCAGTAAACGGCGTGCAAGACTAAATTAAAACTGTGTCCCACGCTAGCTTCCTTTTTTTAATGTGGGAAATCAATCTTTTTTTTTTCTTAAGAGAGGTTAGTGACCTATACTTGACCCAAGAATTGGATTTTTAAACAGAGCGATACTAAATTTAAAAGACGTCAATGTGTTTCATTGGACGGGCAAAATAAGTTTAGCGTTGTTACGCGTACTATCCATTTTTTAACCCTGACATATATTTTTTTTCTGTCGCCTGGATGCAGAATATTGAATGCTTAAACGGAAATTTCAGTCCTACCATTTACGAACACTGTTTTGTATTCGGCTTTTCTTATTCCTCTCTTAATGTCAGATAGTTATTTCTGTTTTTTTTTTTTCTGAAGAGGGTGTCGGTTAATCGTGACGTAACATCTCAGATCAATAGCATTCTCATGCCGAATATTAGGCTTTAACAACTGAAATGAAATTTGACACTCAAAGAACAGTAAAAAAACGTTTAGCTATTTTAATGCGAAATGGTTTAAGTAGGGAAACCTAAAAATGACTACATTCGTTTACTTGCTTTATGACAAAATCAGTAATATTTAGCGAAGAAAGTCATCGGGAAACAGCAGGAATCAAAAACTTTGATTTTAAGTTAGCTTCAGCCTTGTCATCATTTTGTTATTATTCTTTTAACTCCTTGTATTTTCTTTACGTTTTTTTCACTGAAAGAGCAAAAACAAAATGAAAAATGAAGAACAAGTTATCGAAGGAGAAACAGATTAACAATTGCTTTCAACAAAATCGAACGTTTTCAACTGGGCAATCAGTTTAATCCAGTTTAATCAGAGATATCTGTTTATTTCCTTGAGCGAGTTAACCGGACTTGGATTCAGTCTTATAACGCAAAGAAGCCTGGCGACCTACTTGACCCAAACACTTTAACGATACTAAATAACTCGTATAATTTTTGAAAATTCATTGCATCCGCAAAATCAGTTTGCCGTTTTTACAAGTATTTTCTGGTTCAAATTATCTACAAGTATAGTTCTTACCTAAGACCTGGATGCAGCAGTCTCTTTGAAATTAAATGAGTATTTGAAGTGAATATTTAATCCTACCTTGAAGAATCCACGGTTTTGTATTGGGTTTGTCTCTCTCAATCTAAAAACTTGTCTCAGCTGTGCTTAAGATGGCTACAGAACTATCTAAACATTTCGAATTTACAACATTTTTAGCCAGCTTCAGGCTTTTAATTTTTTTTCTAATATTTCAAACTAGTAAATATTAGCTTTAGAAAAATAAAGTTTGTTCACGCAAAGAGCAATAAAAATCATTAAACAACGAGTTTTTGAATGAGAGACAAAAAATTCACCTTTCACTGAGGAAGATCTCGAAGCATCTGGAATAAAATATATTCAAGCAAGCTCTAGCCTTTTCTGTATTTTTCTTAATATCTTGAATAAAATATAAATATTTAATTAATAAACTAATAAAGTTAAACTACTTAACGCAAAAAGGTCCCCTGACTGAGCTATTGACCCAAATTTATAGGTCCTAATTATAGTGATGCTAAATAACTCTGCTGGACGAAAGAATAGGATTTTCCGGCAAATTTTCTCCTTACAAATATGTCACAAAAATGTGAAAACTGAGGAATAAAGATGGGGCAAAGATGGTAAAAGCCACATTTGCATACCAAAAAATAGGAGGTGTAAATAACCAGGCAAATGTGGCATTTACCATCTTTGCTCCAAATTTTCTCCTCAGCTTTCTCAATTTTACGACATATTTGCCGGGAGCAAATTTATGCAAATCCATTTTTTTGAATACATTTTAAAATTTTTTGTTAGCGAAGGAAAATCAGTTTGACATTTTCATTAGTGATAACCAGTTCATATAACCCGAATTATTGATGCAACGATATGTTGTAAAAGAAAATTTATCCCTGCGAAGAAATTTCAATCCAACCAATGACGATCAGGAGCCATGGTTTTGCATTTGATTTCGTTGACCAATCGCTCTCTCAATTTTAGAAACCTATTTCACTTTTAGCTGAAGAAGATCTCTATAAACTATCGAACTTCTAAAATAAATAACATTTTAGCCAATTTTAACTTTTTCATTTTTTCGCAATCTCTTTAACTAAATATTATCTTTAATAAATTAAGTTTGCTCACCCAAAAAAAGTCACAGAATTAATCGAATTGTTGGATAATTTTAGCAGGGAAACTTACATAGTGAAAATAAGGCAATGGACAGACCATGTGACCTCTTGAAGAGGAGGGGAGAAGTGGAAAGTTTCAAGGTAAACGAAGGCGCATGCATTGATATTTATTTTTGAGATTGCGCAACTACCGATGTGAGGAAAAATATCGACTTTTGGTTGTCTAAAATCAGTGGTACAAAAAAAAGTTCTCGCGCCAACTGGAATTTGTGTGCTTTGACCCGTCGTAAATTGCCTCAGTAAAAGCTGCCAGCTCAAGTCATTAAAAAACGGATAACAATTTAATGCATCACGGAAACACATGCTACTTGACATGTGGAGAGGAGGAGTGAATGGTACAGTCAAACCTCTCGGTAAGGACGTCTCTCTGATACGGAAGTTTCCAATGTTCCGAAAAAATTCTCGTAAATTTTTTAAAAAAAAAAAACCCTTTAAGACGGACTCTCTCTAATACGGACAACAGACATGAAATCTCGGCCCCAGGGAGTAAATTCATATAAACTTGACCTCTTTATTGCGTACACTGTGGTGATCAGGTGAATCTGGACAGGGTGTATCCCGTCTAGTCTGGCTGATGAGCTATGCAAGGTGATATAAAGGCCCAGTCGCTGTATACCAAACAACGATTTGCGAAAGGTGTACAGAGGAAAATAACCGACTTTTTGAAGGCTTCAATAACTACAGATAGCATAAAGATCTTTTCTATTAAACGTTTTACTCTAGTTACTGTTTACTGCACTTGGAAAATAGCAAAATACGCTTTCACAATTGTGCTTTACATTGCGATGTTGTATGCTACTGAAAGATGGTGTCTTTGTACTGTGAATTAATAACTTTAAATGCAGTTTAAATAAAAGTTTGAGCCTGGTTTTAGCTACTGATCACGAACACTTTGAAGTGTTTAAAAAACTGTAAGTGGAGTCATAAAAGTGTCTTCATCATAGTGACCTCTTTTATACGGACACCTCTGTAATACGGACACTTCTCTCTGTCCCTTCGGTGTCCGTATTAGAGGGGTTCAACTGTACTAGGTTTCCGGTAACCGTGTGTTAAGAGAGCTAATGACGGATTTCAAGGTTCGGAACAGAAACGCAATAAAAGACGAATAGAAAAATGTTTACAGTGGCCATTTATTGGGGGTTTAACCATCTCAAAGGTTTTGCTGATGTGCTAAAGAAATTCATCTCTCTTTATTACCTTGATGCAATGAAACATCAGCACGTGCAAACTACTTTCGGCAACAGCAGAAGCTAAAGTAAATAGAAGAGCTCATGATGGCCTCATTAACCTCAGATACTTCACTTCCTCCGTTTAAAGCACTGTTGCAGTGGTAGTTGTAAAAGGAGCCCACAATTTCTCCATTTTGGGTAGCTTTGCGTTCCCTTCCATAGACAGAAACTTCCCCATCGCAGTTGGGATAAGAGCTCTGGGAACAAATTTGGCTACAGGTTTTCTTGTCAGCGGTGTTCCTAGCCATAACCTGGTTTTGGCAGCAACCACTTCCTCCTGTAGGGGTGCTTCCTCTGCAGGCCGCTGCTGCCGCCATGTGAACTGACTGCCACGCCAAATCGAATGCCGAGTACTGATCATAGCCTGCCGTGAGAACGTTCTGAGGAAGGCGGCCGTTTTGGTCGAGCTTGGCGAAACCACCAGGCTTGCCTGCGCTAGACAGCTGAGCTTTTAAAGTGGCAATCTGGAAAAATAGGATGACATATGGATGTGGTCTTAACTTAGGTAGGGAACTACTCTCCAAAAATAATAAGACAAGTACGGTTTTTTTTTTTTTATCTTTTTTGACCTGAAATTTACTCGTGCTATAAAGTGAAGGAATCGTAAGGTTTGAAACTGACAACGAACGTGTCTGACTATTAGGGAAACCGTAATTGTTTTCAGTTCCCAATGCTAATTTTGCCACTTCCTTCTTCACTATTGGCACAGTTTCAGTGTTCCTCAAAGCCACTTCCTTCAACTGATTTATCTGGTCTTTAAGGGCTGCTTCTTGGCTTCAACACAGAATTTATGGTCTCACGACAATGCCCTCTTTATACCTTCTATATTATCTAAACTAACAATTCCAGAAAAGTAATTACATTGGACATTCATTGACAAGCTCGATCTGAGCTTATAAGGTCGGGGTTAAGGAAGAAATTATTATCATTTAGAAATGTGTAATTATCGATCTCAAGGGAGTCGGTGTCCATATTGACAGTTTTTCATGTGAAAAAGATTAAAACCCTTTTAGTAACATCAACAGCCCTTACCTCCTGCTCCAGCTGTTGTAATCGTCCTTCATAGGCTGCTAAAGAGTAAAAATAATAAAGACAGAAAAGTTTTTAATGAGCTTAGCTTTTATTCTGTGGCGTATATTATACACTTAATGTCAGATCCCGAGGGAAACAGTCCTGATGGACAACAATGTGCATTTTATTGGACAGGTTTATATTAAAACTTATCCGGAAATAGGGTCGCAAGTTCGTCTTCAAGACTAATTTGGGTGCTCTCGATTTCATTATTTTGGCGTATGTAGAAAAACGTACTACTCTCCCTCAGAATTACACTTTAAAACTAATGTGCTAAATAAACGAACTAACTACAAAAGGTATAATTGCTAACCTTGGCTTTGGTTATAGACACCTTTTCCAGTCAGGCAAGTAATAGCATCATTCTGTAAAGGTAGTAAACCACATATCGTCAAGTTGTGAAACCACGGTAGATTTTCAACCATTTTTTCCCTTACTCCAACTGAGACTTCTTTTTTACAGTACTGACATAGCATTGTAACCGTTTACCAAAAGCAGACCGCTATAAGTGGCCATGGATTTCCGGAAATAAAAAGACTTCTGTTGGAGTTGCGCATAAAAGCAACTCTCGCGGGGAACTACTACCTTTTTAACTGCTGAAAAACGCTTCTCTTTACATAGGCAATCCTTGACATAAACTCATATTTTAGTGAGTACCAGGAATTATTTTTATTTGTAATTATTTTTTCACCTTTTGATTACTGTGACCTTGAAAATTGCATCATACCACTATCTTATTGTAGTCACTTTATTTCATGAACACATACCAAACAACGAGTCTTCAAATCGCATCCACCATTTGTGCTTTGGTCTACGCTTTCATCTGCGCATGTACAGAATGTGACTGTTAGACTGCCAAATAAGGCCGCCATGACGAGCTCCTTGAACAGTGTCATTTTCACTCAGTTCTCTCTTGCAATGACCTGTTAAGAAAAAAAAATAGCTTGAAAACAATTTCAATTCAGTTTTCGGGCCGAGTTATTTAGTAGGCGCAGAGGAACTTAAACTACACTTGCATTCAACAAAATCAGGAGTTTTCTGATGAAAAATTAACCAAAGCCATCCAGGTCAAAAGTTAGTGGAAACATCAGTTTAAAGTGGCGTTGTTGTAGTCATAGTTAATTAAAGTGGAATGGTTGGGAAACCCTTTGTTATAGGTTTTGTTGGCTTTTTGGACCTGACCGTGCACAACGTTCAGTAGCATTACTATCATTTTGAAGTTAATGACCAATAGAAACATTGCATTAATTTATTCAGTCATAATTTGTGAACAGAAAACAAAAGATTGTGCATGGTCAGAGAGCTTCCAACATAACCTAAAGCACCATTATTTTCAACTTTGATGATGTTTGCCGGGTTTCCTAACCAGTCTCCTCTACTAACTATGATTTAGCAAAGTAAAGTTAATTTGCTAAGTAAAATAGGTAGCGGCGAGTTATTTAATAGGAGCAGAGGAACTTAAACTACACTTGCATTCAACAAAATCAGGAGTTTTCAGATGAAAAATTGACCAAAGCCATCCAGGTCATAAGTTAATGGAAACATCAGTTTAATTTTACGTTTGTAGTATTTACCAAGCCACGTAATAAGAGCGTGCCTGTCAATCTCGTGCTCTGTTTTCTTGGCTGGCACGTAAGTTTCGTATGATATTCACCTCCGAGAGCAGGCAAATGTAAAATAACTTCCTTAGTTTCCTTAGGTGTACTAAGCACATTTTAATTTTTTACAACGACCTACTTGATCCAAAAAAGATAGACACAGCATTACAGCAGTACTTCATTTATCAATGCGTTTAAAGAATTTTGTACAGGAAGGTCAGTGTGACGTTGTTATACAAAGTTCGTCAGAGAATTCTCTCTTGACAAGTTCTATCCACTCCATACAACCCTGGAGTCGTCTTTGAATCCTTGCAATGAAATCTTAATCCTCGCAATAATCCATCACTTTGTATTCGGTATTGACTAACCTCGGGTCTCAAGCTTAAGAAAATTCCGATTATCGCTTCGATGACAAGCAAAGAGCCGTGGATTTTCAAGTCTCAACTGCTACTTTCTCTTGTAAATTAACACAGCATTTGTGCTCAGAAATAAAAAAATGTTCTAAAGAATTTACGATTTACGCTCACTTTTGAACGACATGCCTTACAATTGCAACTTCTTTTATATCGCCGAGCAAAATTAAGGGTGTAAATCTTAAATTTAAAAACTTTACCCAAATGAATTTACCCACTTTTTTAAAATACGCTCGTAATCAGCCATAGTGGTATAAATTAAGTCAACAAAAACACAATTCGCTTTGAATCAACAAATGACATCCTTTAAAAAAAAAACACACACACACACCGAATCTTTTTCAATCATTTAATTTCCCGCCCTTCTATCGGTCGTACGAAGTATTTCTTAACTTTGGAAACAAAGTATAACTTTGGGCAAACTATATATTTTACTAACCGGGTATGTAATAAAAGAATAATAATTCATCCCATTGTCGCTACAAGGGGGAAGGGGGGAGGGGGGGGGATTGATTTGGGACTGAAATTACAAAAATTGAAAAATTCGAATTTACTTTTTTTTTTTTCACTTTTACACCTGTTTGGATCTTAGGTGTTTAGGCTTTTTTTCTTTTTTACAAAAATCGAATTTTATGTACACATGAGGACAAGAAGTATTAATTTCAAAATTCTATCTACCATATATTTAGCGTACCTGTGAGTGCCTGTGTGAGACAATTGTCAGTTGTGTTCCTTAAAGAGACTAACTTCAAATGACCGATCTGGACAATATTTCTGCAGAGGTTCGTATAGCAATACCCTACCAATAGCCTTATCTCATTATTCAAAAGCAAAATCATTACGTTAATGAATTTGCTTTTGACCTAAAGCTGTACAAATCGTAGGTCTAAAAAAACAATTTGCTTAATGTTTTCTCATCTCAGTATTTAGCATTTAGATCAAATTAAAGCCATGCAATGTTGAGGTTTCAAAACTTCAAGTAAAAGATGAAATTTCGATTCCATCTAAAAAAAATTGCAATGTTATGTTGCTGATGCAAAGATATACGCCGTTTAATTATAATAATGACACAGTTGCCTTTTAGCAGTGCTTACCTTGATGACGTCATGCTCGGTATAAGTATCACGTGGTTAAACTGATATTTAACTGAAGCTAAGTACTTCCGCTGACAGCTGATCAAACTTTATGCAGAGAAAATGTTCTTTCGAATGCTGTTGACATATTTTTTTCACTCAACTTCAGTTTAAAAACTACAGAAGAATTCTTTTTCTTTCTGTTTGAAAATTCTGGAGTATGTTTCAGAGTAGAGATAGCCTTACAAATGAAGTCTAGATTATTCCGTTATAGAATTCCTTGTGAACTCAAGTCTCTTCCCACCTTAATTTGCATTTGGCTAATATTTCACTAAACTATTTATTTCCCATGCTTTCTCACAAGGTTTAAAAATGCGTATCACTAAATCGCCAAATAGAGGAGGCTATGTCCGCACAAGTCCGTTTAAGCTTGTGTAAGAGGAAACAAACTTTATATGAGTTGACGGGTGTTCCCAGAAGAGAGGCGTTTTTTCCAGTTACATTGTGACTTAGAATATTTTAGTTTAGATTACTTATGATTTAGTTAAACGCTAAATCGATATCAGTTGTTTGTGATCCTGGTTTAACTGAACACTTTTCGTTCAGTTCTTAATTTTTGCACTGAAAAAAATCCCACTTGGTAATCTTATCATTCAATTGGCTAGAAAGATTAATTGGAAGGCTTTCAGGTGGACGCAGGAAGGAACGAGGCGCGCGGGAGAAACACCGAGGGGAGAGGGAGTGCCTGCCCGAGAGACCCATAAAAATCGTTTCCCGCCCCCTATCCAATAAGCTGCAGCCGCTGGGTGATCTGTCAAAAATGTTGACAGAAAATGATTGACATCAACAAACAAAGCGTACCAAAGCGTTGTACATTTACATCCTCTGTCTATTTGCTATAAAGACCAGATAGGTTTTCTGATTATAGAGCAATGGAGCAATAAACCGACGATAAACACACAGAATAGGCCCTTTGCAGATTTCCATCTACGTGGTACAAAACCGCCATGTTGGGACACAAAAGTCACACTTGTGTAAGACCAACAAAAGGCATACATAATTTCAAATGGTAATTTCCTTTGTTTGTCTTGTCCCAGTGCGACTTTTGCGTTCCAACATGGCGGTTTTGTACCATGTGAATGGAAAGCTGGAAAGGGCCTATCAAATCGTTTTTAACCAAAGGCACGATAAATACAAAAAAAAGGAGTCAAAAATGGATATTGTTTAAAGAATGCATGCCGAGTACGTAAATATTGTCTTACCACAGATCACACCTTACTTGGAAAATGACCATTGCTTTTTCGGCATGATGTGGCAGCCGTTTTTGGAGCAGAAATGTCTTACTAAACGGACCTAAACTTCAGAACACAAACTGTACCTAGACGTTTTTATAGCAAGCAGTGACGAGACGTTAAAATTAGACGTCAGGTCGCCTTCGAGCAATAAATGATAACAACAGCGAAAGGTTTTTTCAAATTCATGCCTCTGGTAAGTGTTTCATTCATCAATACTGTCCAGGGCTTGATGGTACGCGTCCCATTCACAATGCAAGCCGCCAAGTTCTTTTTGAACAAAGAATACTTCCTCTGATCTTCATTTCAACAATTCGAGAAATCTT